TGGAGGGAAGGTACCAGCCGAGCGCAGAGGAGAAGAAACAGTCGAGAGCAGCCGCACCCGAAAAGCCCGGTCTGCCTCTGCCTCTACCCAAAGCAGAGCGTCTCATATGAGAGACTGAGGAGGCCTCGCCATGTTGGGAAGCTTTGTGCGAATCGATAAATCTCGTATGACGTTCCCATGTTAACGTTTACGGGATTTAAACAAGATTACTGCTGTTTTTGGCTGTTCCATCATGTATTCTGTGACAAATCGACTGTTTTCAGGTTATTTTGTCCTCTGTGACACAGACATGAACTGAAATGTAAAATATATTTATATGCATGTATTTTTGTATTTGTATATTAAAACACTATTTTCATTGAAAAATGTCAAGTAAAAACATTGACTGTGATGCACTTTTTTTATCGCAGTAAAACGATGTGCACTTAAAGCAAGTCTATGGAATTAAAAGGTGTACGACTGGTCAGGTGAAGGTTTTTATTGAGTTTGTAAGAACGGTCTCCAAAATTTTAATCATTTTGTCAGTTTTGAAGAGGAGGAAAACCATTTATTTCAGCCATGCTGCTGAAAGCTGTACCTCATCAGATACACACCATTCAATTGGTGTGGTAAATTGGTTTTGACTTCATAAAATGTTGGTGATCCTGTCTATATATTTTTTTTCTCCATTGGGGAAAAAAATCTCTTTCTGGCTTGTGTAATTATAAAGGCCAAATGTTTTGAGAATGACACAAATACAGTCGCAGTTTGCAGCCTCTGGTTTGTTAGTTTGCACGAAATCTGAAAGGTATGAGCGATCTGGTGGATTCAAATAATAGCTATATAATAAAATCTTCATGAGCTGCTCAGAAGGTGATTCAACCATCGAATCAAGAGTGTTGGAGCAGCAAAACACTAAAACAAGCTGGCTTGCATCTCTTGATGACCAGGATTCCACACCCCTGAGTTAGAGGAGGGCCTTTGATGTCACTTCATCCCAAAAAATAAAAATCTACACAGGGCAGAGTGCTATTTTGTTAATAACCAGAGATTGGTTAGGATGAACCATTTTTCCATGGGAGCATCTTGGAAAAAAAAGACAATCCATGGAAGAAAATGTGAGTGATCCTAATAGTGCAATCTCCTGCAGACAGTAAAGCATCCAGAGATGTGTGGAGTATCTTCCCAGCCAAGGGAGTGGACCCACTCAAGGTTTAACCCTGGAGCACAAGCAGGAAAAAAGAATGGGACTGAAACATCCTCACAGAGGAACTCCTTAGGGATCAATGCCTTTTTCAGCATGATAGACACACGGCTAAGATCTGGACTAAGTAAGAAACCTCTCAGACCTAAATCCCATTGAGTTTAGTTTTCAACACCCCCAAACCGCACACTCTCTTCTTTTGAATGTGTAGCCATCCATCCATTTGCTATACCCTCCTGTCCATGCAAGGTTGCAGGGGGCCTGGTACCGGTCTCCGGGCAAACAGCAACACCCTGGACGGGTTGCCAGTCTATCGCAAGGCAACACAGAGATGCGCACACAAACACAAAGGGACAATTTAGAACAATCAACCAGACGGGTCATACTTTTGGACTGTGTGAGGAAGCCGGAGTACCCGGAGAGAACCCACGTGTGCACAATGAGAACATGCAAACTCCATGCAGAACAACCCCAGGCTGGAATTAGAACACTGGGCCTCCTTGCTGCACTTTGTCTCTGGGAAGCCATCAGTCCGGATTTTCCCCTGGCACCAACATGCCAGGGTGAAGTACGGAGGTCTTTGAAAAAACAGGACCATCATTGTGTTACTGCAAATATTGTCAACAAGCATTGAAAAGCCTTTCTTATTATACTTCTTTATATCAATAAAAACATTTAAAATTATTGAAAGTTTAAAACAAGCTGTAAACTCTCGTGTCATTCTCTGAGCTTTGGGTCGTTGCTGTAAACTGTGGCTTTTTTCTGCTGTCATGAAATCAGCTCCAGGACAGACTTCTGTCGGGGTCATTTTTACTCCTACGTAAGGAACACCCGTCCCTTTATAAGAAGTCTAACCAACTGCTGACAGTTCTTTTTATTTCTAACTTGAACAGCGTTTCTAATCATACTTAAACTCTGGCTCGGAGAATGCAGAGATCAGCATTTCTTTGGTCGATGAGATTGTTCTAAACCATCTTGATGGTAATCAGATTTATTTTTCAAGCTTCGAATCTCTTCTTCAGTTCAGATACTTTGACTGGGAGGTGGTCTTCCTCCTCAGGTGTGTCTGAGTTCGTGTTTTCCTGAGTTTGTTGGTTTTCTCTGGATTGGAACAGCTGGCCAGCCTTGGGTATGGATCTCAGCTGAAAGTTCTTAGCAGGAGTTGGACTCTGGAAACGTGCTGCAGCAGACGTCACTTTGGGTGGAGAGGGGGTCGGTCGCACGGTTGGCTCCTCGTTCATTGCTGATTTTTTTCTCGTTGCCTCCTGAAGTTTAAGGTCAGCAGTGGTAATTAGTATTTCAGGGGCAGCTGTGGTTTCTCCTGGTCCTTGGTGTTCTTCCACGGAAAAAGGAGCATCCAGCATTGTGCTCGTGTCTAAAGATTCTTTGGTGTCGTTTCTTAGATCCTCTTTTGTTGTTTTGCTCTCAGTTTCAATCACACTTTTGTGCATTTCTCCTAGCTCCTCACTCTGACTTTCATCCTCTTTTATTTCAGGTATTTCCTTTGCACCGTCCTCCTCTGGGTCATCATTACTCTTATCTTCCAACATCACCTCCTTACAGATATTCCTGTTTTGTTTTTCATCTTTTTCTTCCTCCTGCATCCCGTTCATTGTTGCATATGTGGTCTTGAGTTTCTCTCCTTCATCTCTCTGTCTCTTTTCCTCATCTCCTACTTCACCATCTAAATGAAAGCTGTCTGAACTCTCCTCCTCTGCCAAGCTGGAGTCCGGGCACAGAAAGTCGGAGTCCTCTGTGAGATCTGAGAGCTCTTCTGTAGTTTCCAGATTCCAGCTGTGCAAGCTGCCGCTGCCGCTGATGGACAGAGACAGGCTCTCTTGGCTGGGGTTGGCTGGACAACGCTGATAAACACAGACATCAGTCAGAAACCTACACACTGTGCACTTGTCTGCTTTTGACGGTGATAGTTCCTCATCTGCATACCTTTGTGATATAATCGTGGCTGTCTGGTCCAAACAAATCCAGACTGCGAGTGCCGTACAGAAGGCCTCGGTCATGGGAGCTGCGAGAGCTGAGCGTGTCAAAGATCTCCCCGAGAAGATCCATCTCTTCTGAGTCGCACAGAGGCGAGTCATCCCCCTCGTCTTCATCCTTCTGGAGCTCACAATCAGGCTCCTCAGCAGCTCCAGAAGCACTGAGACCAAACAAATATACCATACCACCTTTATTTATATAGCACTTTAAGAACAGCCATACGGCTGACCAAAGTGCTGAACAGTCGCACAGTAATAGAGATAAAAAACATAAAACAGTACTATAAAATACAGACAACAATAATAAAAGACAAGCCGATAAAAAGTACCAATGAAATAATTTAATTTGAGTAAAAATACAAACGGCTCCTCACCTGTCCCCACCCATCTTCGGCGTCGAGGGGATTTTCTCTGCATTTCTGAAGAGGTCGACGGGGTCGTGACTGACAAGAGCCAGAGCATTGAAAACGAAGGAATGAGTTTGTAAAGAAGGAATGACAGAAATGAGATGCACACACAAACAAGTTACCGTCCCGAAGTGTTGTGTGATTGGCAGCCGATCCTGCAGGCTGTCAGAGTGAGCGCGGTGGTGCGATGTGGATCGACCTCTCTGAAGACTCTCACTCTGGGGTGAAATTACGAACAGAACCGAGTGTTAAAAGAACAGCAGAACATTTAAAGAACCCACAGAAACACACGAGCTCACCTTATTTATCAGCAGATTTTTCAAACCTGCCTTAGTGAAGCCTTTGGCCTGTTGGAGAGATCCATCAACACGTTAGGAGTGGTACCCCATGGCCCCCACCCCATCCCTTCTAGTAAATCTCTGTCTGCTGCACTCACTCTCATGTTTGCTTTGGTCTTCATGTTGAGAATTATAGCTCCGCCCCCTTTCTGTCCAAACAGGATATGCATTGATATGGGAGTTTATGCATTAGTGAGTGGGAGAAAAAGAAAGGTTGCAGATAAATTTACCTTTAAATTACCAACCATCTGCTGGTATGACCTGCCTTTTCCTTAAAGAAAGAGATAAGCAAAGGATTGACAACAGTCCAAAAAAGGTGAATAAATACTACAAATACACACCTGCAGTTGTTTCGCATTTTATAATCTCTTCCTCGAAGAGGTCATCTGGTCCCTTCCCTTTGTTCAGAATATCCAGACGTGCATCGATGAACTACAACAAAAAATGAATGAGAGAAGAAAAGTCAGATTCCGTCCTTTCTGCAACACTTTTTATCATTTTTGTGTAACTTTGTGTATATTTTTTTCATGCTTTAAAAAATGCAAAAATATCAAAGAAACATTTGTTCCAATAAATCCAAATCAGACAAACGCTGTCATTCAGCAACTAGATGCAGACTTTCCACCTGTGTTCAGATCCTTGTCCAACCTGGTTACAGTTACAGATTGTGTCCAGCAGAGGGCGCTATTTACCTGTTTGAAGAGCTGCAGGTGAATGGCACTTTGCAGGAACTGTTTGAGGTGCTGAGACTTGTGATCCAGAAATAATTCTTCTGAGAAATGTATGTCACCTTCCTGTGTGTGTGTGTGTGGGGGGGGGGGGGGGGGGGGGGGGCAGAGAGAGTGAGAGAGTGATCAAACTAAATGCTAAAAATAAAACGTATCATTGAGGCCTATTAAAACAAGACTACAAACATTTAAACAGTACCGAAATAGCTATAAAAGCTGCAGCCTAGCATAGCAGGTACATCAGATAGTGTTAACAAAGGCACAAATACTTTCCTGAAACACAGAAAATACCTTAATGACAGTTTCGGTGTCCGACTGCAAAACTTCAGCTCTGAGGAAGTTTTGCAGTTGGCAAACGAAACTGTCAGCAAGGTAGAAAAACCTTCTCTGTGTTTTAAAAATGACCAAAAATACAGTCAGACACCAGACACAGCAAGCACGTATCAAAGATACATTCCTGAAACATGTATTCAAGTACTTCCATAAACCACGGACCTTGGTGCTCTGCAGAGCATCCCTGTAGCCTCCGAACAACAAAGCTTGAGCCTTCAGGAAAGCCCGAGAGACCCCACAGCCCGGTGAGGACCGCATGGCGCTTCAAACACACCTTCAGACCAGATATCTGGAGACATGTTTACAATTTCATCTTTGTAGAGTCCATGACCGCTCAAGAATAAAGAGTTTAAAAGATCCCACTGAACCAGGTGGATCTGCAGAAATCGTAAATGATGCAACAGGGAAGGTCGTTACCATTCTTTAATCAAAAATGTTTGAGATAACAAGTCCTGATGGCTTATCATCCCAGAGAACTATCGATTACGTGAGCTGTGCATTCAGACAGGTTTCTATTGTTTGAAATGATGTTGCTAAGATAAGGATCACCCTGACCCACGGTGATGCAGGAAAGTAGTTCTACTACTACGCTTCTATCAGGATGATCACAACATTCTCTCAGACTCGACCAGCTGATCCAAAATGATGCTGCTGAGTTCTGATGAGAGTTAGGATGATGATCAGTTCCAGCATCACTCAATCAATCAATCAATCAATCAATCAATCAATCAATCAATACTTTTTTAATCCCAGAGGGAAGTTAATTCTCCCTTTGAATCCCAGAATCAAATTGAAAGCATTACTTTTGATTAATAAAGCTCCAAAAGATCAAGTTCTTTTTAAAATTAAAACCATTACTGGTCCAGATGTTCCCCACGGAGAACTTGGCTCTTATGCTTCGGGATTGGTTCCTAGAGGTTCTAAAATTAAAACCGGAGGCTGAGTTTTTAGGATCCTCTCTCTCCTCTCTGTCCGTAAGCGAGAGACCCCGTGTAACTTTAAGACCAAGCTTTAGATTTTCCTGTTCAATAAATCTTAGGGTTAGTTTGCCTATCCTGGCTCATCCCTTTAGTTATGCTGACTTAGATTGCTGGGAGAAAACAGTTTACTCTCTTTTTTCTCTCCCTCTGTTTTAAAAATAACATCTGACCCATTTTTCCAGTCAGCTGAGTCAGAAGGACATCATTCTGGTTCTGCTGGAGGTTCCTTCCTGTTAAAAAGGACTTATTGGGATGTAAAATGCACTTGCTCAGATTAGGAGGATTGATCCAAAGATGCTTTAATCCAATCTCCTGGTTCCTTTTTATGGGGACAATTAGACAAATGGCCATTTTATAATGAATCTAGTTTTAATAAAACTGAATTGCACTTACTGCAGTCAAATAATACGAATCTGGACCTGAAATTATTTAGATTTGTTGATTTGTGCAGTGCTTCGACATGAAGTGTGTTGTGGTGTTTTACAAATAATCTAAAATGACACGAAATAAAATCTAAATAAGAACAGAAACATCTCATTTGTTTCTTTTAAATTTACCAACATGTATTTTTCTGACGATCTAATTTCATAACTCTGTGAATAATCAAAGCCCCGTGTTCATTATCAGATCTGTAAGTAAATATCACCTCCACTGATACCTGTGACAATTTTTAGAAGCCAGTGAACAACAGCTTAAATAAATCATTCAAACCTATGGGGACATATTTTACCACATCTGAAGGTATCCTCTTCAAGTCATCAAAGGGAGTTTCCAGCGTGTTCGTGTCCACGTTTAGAATAACAACTTCCTCCAGCCCCCGGCTTCTCACCTTCTATACACAAAAACAGAAACAAGTTGATAAGAGATCCGTCTGATTAACCCGACAGATCCATGGAGCGGGCTTTCGGTGTTCATATAACTGTTTACCTCCGACAAGCTGGTGTGGACCCCAATTAGATAAGGCATGGGGGCACTGGAACCACAGGAAAAGCAATTTCAGCAAGATGAGTTCAGGTCAGTTCACTGGTATGAAATGGTCAAGTCTGTAATGTATGCATGGATGGATGGATGAATGTTGGGTACATGTTGGATGGATGGATGGATGGATGGATCGATGAATGTTGGATGGATGGATGGATGGATGGATGGATGGATGGATGGATGGATCGATGGATCGATCGATGAATGTTGGATGGATGGATCGATGAATGTTGGATGGATGGATGGATGGATGGATGGATGGATGGATGGATGGATGGATCGATCGATCAATGAATGTTGGATGGATGGATGGATGGATGGATGGATGGATCGATGGATGGATGGATCGATCGATGAATGTTGGATGGATGGATGGATGGATGGATGGATGGATGGATGGATGGATGGATGGATGGATGGATGAATGGATGGATGGATCGATGGATGGATCGATGGATGGATCGATGGATGGATCGATGGATTGATGGATCGATGAATGTTGGATGGATGGATGGATCGATGAATGTTGGATGGATGGATGAATTGATTGATGTTGGCTGGGTGAATGAATGAATGAATCAGCAAATGAATGAATGGATGGATGGATGGATGGATGGATGGATGGATGGAAGGGTGGGTGGATGGATGGATGGATGGATGGATGGATGGGTGAATTGATTGATGTTGGCTGGATGAATGAACGAATGAATGAACGGATGGATGGATGGATGGAACGATGAATGTTGGATGGATGGATGAATGGATCGATGAATGTTGGATGGATGGATGAATTGATTGATGTTGGCTGGGTGAATGAATGAATGAATGAATGAATGAATGAATGAATGAATGAATGAATGAATGGATGGATGGATGGATGGATGGATGGATGGATGGATGGAAGGGTGGGTGGATGGATGGATGGATGGATGGATGATTGCTGGATGGATGGATGGATGGATGGATGGATGGATGGATGATTGGATGGATGGACAGATGGATGGATGGATGGATGGATGGATGGAGGGATGGATGGATGGATGGAGGGATGGATGGGTGGATGGATGAGTGCTGGATGGATGGTGTTGAGTGATGCAGCAATGGATTGGTTAATGCTCACCAGCAGTAATCCAGTAGGTGCGGTGGCAGTACTGGTATGAAGATGTGCTGCCAGTACATTGGATACAACGCAGCGCTGAGTGCATGTACACAAGACGTGAGCTACACAAACAAATGAACAATTAGCTTTACGACAAATAATATACACAGGCCTGTTTTTATTTTATATTTGTGGTTGATAGACTGCATGTCAGTTTCACAGCTGAATTCTATGAAGAACTAATAGGCCTAAAGTGGGTTAGAGGAGCATTTGTGTTAAATATAACACCCAGCTGAGGTCAGCCTTATAAATAAAATATGTGTCTGCACCCAGACATAAATACAACACTACAAACTTAGAAACCTAGAGTTTTTCACCCACAGTGCTCAGTTTGCTTGCAAAGATGAGGATGCGTCTCTCAAACAGCATGCTGGCATAGAGCTGAAGAAGGTTTCCGACATCAACAGCAACAATCAGCTCGGTCAAGTTCCTCTGGTAAAGGCACAAAGTTAGCAATAATGCTCAAGGTGAAAATAACCTGTCGTGCAAACGGACACACTCACATTTTCAGGGATGGACGGGAGATTTCTGGGATCTGGAGCAATGAAATATGGAATCTGTCCAAACGAATTAAAGCTAATGTTAGAAGGTGGGTAGAAATTAAGGGACGTTATTATTTCAGCAACATGGGCGCAATTGAATACGCATTTGTGTGCACTGAAGGCTGTAGAATAAAAACGAAATATTTCATTCCAAGATTTCTTTTTTTTTTTGCTATCAAATGCAAAAGATTGCTGCTTGTTTTATGAAATTATAACCTGATAATCAGTTTAAATCTGGCATCAATCACCAGGATCTCAAGTTTGTGTGCTTAAACTTGAAATACATATTTATAATTATAGAGCTGTGTCTGACTTTCATCATTTTCTTGAATTTTGGAATGAAACTCAGATACAAAACTGTGAACAATAAAAAAAACAAGCTGTAGTTGGGAGAAACAGGAAGTTATTACATAAAACATTTTTAGAATAACATCATTTCTGGTGTTCAGGCAGACTGATGTAACATGGACTAAAAGGACAGCTAGCCAGTGCAAATCATGTTAAGGTTAAAGTTTGCTCCTTTGGAGGGGTGAGTTTTTAGTCCACATATGAAAGCCACCAAGCAGAGACAGCCAAGGTTTTCCAGCAGGAGTTAGTGCTTTGAGTATCTGCTTCTGGACCATGTGGACTCTTGTGGGACTCACCCCCTCTGATCCCTGTGTGTGTCCTACAGGGTGGGACACCTCTGTGCTGACCAAAAGCTGCTCTCCCTCAGAAAAGAAAAACAACAACATGCAAACCGCGGACAACATCAAGTGTGACTCCCGGTTCTGATTGGCAGATTTAAAGATTTACCATCTGCAGAGTGATGGATCCATCAGCCATTGGGATGGACTGCTTGTGGAGAGCAGCCAGCAGCGCTTTTATCTCGTTAACCTGTCGGAGAGGCGACACGTTCAAGTTGTGGCCTTCAAATAAGTGTGTGTGGATTATAAAGATCGCACACTAGCAGCTCACCTGCGCTTTTGCGAGGTAATCAGCCAAGTTGTTGAGAAGTTTGTAAAACACCTCAAACCATGGAAGATAGCTGTAATCAAACAGTAGTTAGTTGTGAAATAAGGTGAAAACACAACATATTAAAGGTGCATCGTGTAGGAAATAAGTAAGAATGACATCCTGTGGTCAAATTTGGGTACTGCAGCCCTTTTTCTAAACACACGCATGACTTCCTCACTTCTGTTCTGTGAATTTCATGGCTGCAGCTACAGACTGATGATTCTAGATGACGAGTGATACACAGTATGCTAATAGTTACATTTCACTGTAATATCAAGATGTTGATTGAAAACGTAGCTTGAGATGATTTTAGAGCCCACTTTGTTTTCTAATTCACCATTAGCATTAGTAGATCAACATTAGCCTCTAGCTACATTTGGTGGTCTTATCACTCTTGGGTGTTTAGCCTTAAGGAACACATTATTAACTCTTTAAATGTCATTATGGCTAGTTTTGCTATTCACTCACTGTTTTTATTGTTTTCACTTTTTACAGTTTATATTAGTCCCTTAATTTGTTTCAATGTCGTATGCTTTTTATCCTTGCTGTACAGAGTTTTGGGCAGCTGGCACGCTGTGTGAAAATGCGCCAAATCATATAAAAATGGTATGCTACGGTATGGCATGGTATGGTATGACAACATTTCTCTGGTATTGGAGGAACTGTAGCTGTTTGCCATTTGCTGTTAGCCTGCTGTTACAGTTCTGAACGACTAATTAAAGGAAGTAAAATGCAATTTGACTCATTATTCACTTCACACAAACATTTCACTGTAATACCAAGTTGTTGGTCATTGAAAAAGTATTTTGAGATATTTTCAGAGCCGACTATTTGTTTCTAATTCACCATTAGCATTGTTAGCTCAACATTAGCTTCAAGCCATTTTACCGTATATTAGAGTAAAATAAAAAAGATACCATGGCTTCGTAAGGGTACGAGCAATAGGGAGCCTAAGTCTCTTCCCTTTACGGTCGGCTCATGGGTCCCCGGAAGAACGAAAATATGTATACAAATCAACGGGGCTAAAAACGCTATTTTCTAATCCGCTTTGCCTTAGACCCTGGATTGCACATATGTTGTACTGCAATTCAAATGAAAAGTAATGATGGGTGTTTCTGTCATGTTCCTGAGCCGAGGTGAGCACTCTCTCCTCACTAACAATCTCTGAGGCAATCTTCCACAGGTGAGGAGCGGAGGGTGCTGCAGGTGTGCCAAATCTCCAGTCTGGAGGTCAGGTTTAAAAGGAGGATGGAGACACCACACTGCGCCGGATGATTGCACCTGTTAGGTAGCCCCAGCCTCTCGACTTTGTTTGCTTGTTAGATCTTTGATATTGGATTACTGGCTCTGACCTTGGACTGTTTTTCTGGATTATGCCTTTTGGATTTTCCCCTGAACTGTTTGTTTGCTCTGCTCAGGATACCCAACTCTTCACACTTCTCTCGCTGCTTGAACCTCGGATTTCCAGAACCACGTCCCATCCTCTTCTACGCCTGCCCGTTATCTCCTCTGCCTCACCCGCCTCAACCCGCTGAATTCCACCTGCACTCACCTTGGCTACCCTCCTTTCCCACACATCGTGGACTGGACTACCATATGGACTAACGCCAAACGGCACACCCTCACTGGATTTACCAGTGCACTTTTGTTCCTGCTTAGAAAATAAAGAACTTTTCTTTTTACCCACCTATTGAAGTCGTGTTGATTCTGCATGTCTTGGGTTAAACACCTCCCGCGAGTCATGACAGTTTCGACCACGCCTGTCATGTACTTTGAGATTTATCAGCTTGTAAAAGTTCGTAATTAGCATGACTACACACCAGAAATTGGCACGTTGCATATGTGACGTTACCACATCTCCTCTACCCTAGCATAGCTGCTACTTACCAAATGACCAGATTTATGGTGGTTCTTTCCTCCTGTGGGAAGTTTGCTAAAATTACAGCCATTTTCCCCCTATTTTTCTCCGTGCCCGGTTTGATGACATCACTTTCATGAAGAGCATTTGTAGTCCTGGACCTGGACTCATTTTCACAGAAAACCTAAAATATTGTGTGTGTGTGTGTGTGTGTGTGTGTGTGTGTGTGTGTGTGTGTGTGTGTGTGTGTGTGTGTGTGTGTGTGTCCTTTGAAAATAAGCCTGTTCTTGGTATCAAAATACTTCATTACAATTCACGGACATCATATGTGAAATCCATGGCACAAACAAGCAGAATTAGAAAATTGAGTTTTTAGCCCCGTTGACTTGCATTCAGTTTTTCGTTCTTCTGGTGTGGTCTGGAAGTAGATGGGTGTGATTTAGGCTCCCTATAACTTCTGGGTTGTTCCTGTTTACGGGCTTCAGTTCTTTGCAAAACACTGCTGTGTTCTGCGGGCGGTGTCGAATTGCAAATGCCAACGCTGCAGCGCTAGCTGGCACAGACACAGCAACCCCGCGGGCTCACAGACTGTAAACAAAGACTGCGTCCCTCTTTGGCTTTTTAAAAGGACAGAAACTGGCAACCCTTTGGCCGACTGAGAAGGAAATCTGTGACATCAGAAACTCCCTTCCAACACAATTGAGACATTAGACTGTTTTATGATTATTTCACTGAAGAATTCTCACATATTGTGCCTTTAGTATGAATGGTGACATCACCTGAGAATACAGAGGCAGGTCTGGGTGCTGCTGGTGAGACGACAGAATCCAAACTGCTGACATCCCTCAAGGTCAGTCAGAACAAAAGTAAAGTGCTGAACCGCAACGCCGTCTCTCGCTCTGAGCAAAGTTCAAACAGCAGACATGAAAACCAAACATGTAACCCAGATTTCACTTTATTTACTTCCTACTCACCTTTGTATGTCATACGGGAAGCAGAACTTGAGCGACGCCTGACAGGACTCCTAAAAATAAGTTAGAAATGTGGAAAAATTACAAACGACGCTCTGTTTAAAATGGTCTTTGAATAAAAACACCAGGAACATCATTATCTGTGCTTGTTGTTGTTTTCCACTTATCATGTTTTCCCTAACTTGAAATGCTAGAATTTTAATCTTTTTGCTTCTTTGTTATTTTCATTTTCATTTTAATTAAGTAAAAGCTTTTGAACTGCCTTGCTGCTGAAAATATGCTGAAAAAACAAACAAATTTATAGATGTAACTATTATATGCGTGTCGATAACACACCTGTTGACTGTCTGGCCAAGGAGGGCTTGCAGAATATATTTATGAATGGCTATTAACTGATTGATTAACTCTGTTTAAATCATTAAAACGTATAACATATCATTTGTTTCCAGGAGAACGAGGGGTTACCTCTTCACTGAAGTCCTCTGGAAACTGAAACTTCACTCCAGGATCTGCAACAATAAAATAAAGTTAAATAATGAACAACCTGACTAAAGAAAAAAAACTGCATTCTAGGAACAAGTTATTAAAAACACTTTAAAAAGATGACATTCAGTTAAAAAAAAGTTTAAATTTTTGTTCCTTTAATACACTGAGGCATTTATTGCTGAACTCCTTCAGCTTCACCACAAGGTGTTCCTGTTGTGTTGGACCAGAAGACGTTGTGTGGTGTCAATGATCACATGACAGGAAGGACGGGTGACTCTCGGCACAGCGAAAACTTCTCCACTCACGACAGTTTCATTAATCCAGTCCCAGAAATAATCAGTATTATATATACACACACACACACACACACACACACACACACACACACACACACACACACACACACACACACACACACACACACACACACACACACACACACACACACACACACAGTGTGAAAAGGAGACAGCTCATGGTGTGAATGATTTCTTTGTGGCAGATTTCTGTGCTTGCACAAAAAACAGTCCAAGTGCAGAACAATGACAACAGTAACAAAACAATAAATAAGAAGGGGAAATAAATAAAAAATAAACAAATGAAACAGATTTAAACTAAAGATTCTTCTAAATAATCAGGAATAGAACGGTATTCAGCATGATCGATTTCACGGTTAACTGGCCAACCAGAAACTTATAAGTCAGATTTTTAATAAATAAAAATGTTTTGCTAATTATGGAAATTTAAACTGAATCTGAATCCGACAAATCCAGTAAAGGCAGGACAAATGTGTACAAGACATCAGCATCAGCCTTCAAATCCAGAATCTATAGAACTAAAACAACAATTTTCTGTTGTAGCAAACAGAAGCTCCAGACAGCACACATAAGAAGGCCCCGTATGGAATAAATATGGGCAAGCCGTATGGGTCCCAACAGGGTTTGTCTGCGGTTTCCACAGTGGCCCCATGGGGGTTTGCCCAGAAAGATAATTTCCTACATAGTTTTTGATTGGCTCTACCTGGGTTTTCAGAGGGTTTAACTCAAATGCCGGCCCATTAAAATCCCTGTGGGGCCACCATGGAAACCGTGGACAAACCCTGTTGGGACCCATACAGTTTGTCCAATTAGATTCCATACGGGGCTCACCTATTTTCATTGTCACGCAAAAGTATTTTTCCTCATAGATGGAAGCAGCCACAGACACCGTATTTTTGCACATCGAAACTCATTTAATAAACCTTCATGAAAAAAAAAACCGTCAAACATAAACAAAAGACGAAACAGCTGATGAAGCTGGGAGGCCTCACCTTTGTCCCTGGCTACAGGACGCGTTGCTTCAAAGAACCAGTTGAAAGTCCGCTCTGGGTTTTGTCTGACGGAAAAGAGATCCACATCATCATCAACATCAGATCTTCTCTAGAACGTTGTGCACCAAACAGCAGGACAACACAGGAGTAAAGCTGTCAACAGCTGATCTACTCAAGATGTAATAACATGGTTGTAACTCTGGAAAAAATGGTTTTGCTTTAAAAGGAACAAGTAGAACTGTGAAGTTCACAGCAGCAGAGCTGCTGCAGGAAACTTCCTGTGCAGTTGTGAGAGGAAGTACCGAAACCACAAGAGCTGAGTGTCAGAGTGATGGAAGTCGATGAACCGTGATCTAAATGGACTTACTTGAGTCTGGAGCCCATCCTGTTGGAATGTGACTGTTTCCATGTGTTTGTCCAGGAGAGAGCGAGAGGCCTTCAGCAGGTCCGGTGGAGGAGACTCATTGCTGGGATGATGATAAACACGAGCAGGCAGCAGCAGCCTGCTCAGTCAGCGTCGGAGTGGCGCGTCACTTCCTGATCTATGAATGTGTGCTTGTCAGAAATGTGTGAATGACGTGTGTGATGAGAAAACCTCTAACTCCTGCTGGTGTGACGGATTTCTCCCACGTTTCATTTAAAAGTTTAGTTTCACTGTTTTAAAGATTTGTTTAGAAGAAAACAAACGAGTATGAGTCAGACTTAGAGCTTTTAGAGAAATCCCTACACGGCAACAATTCAGGTTTCCGTGCAGCATTGAAACATTCCCTTTGGGAAACTGGTATGAGCTGATAGATGCTCCTCTCTTTTCACGTGTCTGAGCAGAACCTCCCTGAACCGTCTACAGGTGGTTCAGAACACCTGTGCTCGGCTTCTGACCAAGTCCACCAAACACACCCACATCACCCCGCTTCTCCTCCAGCTTCACTGGCTGCCAGTCAACTTCAGGGTTCATTTCAAGATCCTGGTTCTGGTCTACAGGGCCTTACATGGACAAGCACCATCTTACATTGGTGATCTTCTTAGTCCCTACACCCCCAGCAGGTCCCTGAGGTCCAGTGATCAAAGCCTACTGGTTGTGCAGCACCAGGCTAAAGGTCAAAGGTGACAGATCATTTGCTGCTGTGGCCCCCAGACTCTGGAACTCTCTCCCCCTGAGCCTGAGATCAGTGGTCTCCTTTAAAAAGCAGCTGAAGACTCACTTGTTCAAGCTGGCTTTTGTATGACCTTCTTCACCACTCTCTATAATCTGCTCTCCCCACCTTCCTCAGGATCCAGATTTCCCTCTTTCCTATTCTCTTTAACATTTTTTAATCACAATTGTCAAATTTTTGCTCATTTTAAATATATTTGTAACCATTTTGTAAATTCTTTTGTTATATTTTGTTTGTGAAGCGCCTCGTGATTTTTATCTTGAGAGGCTATAGAAATATTTTCTTCTTTGCTGTCAAAATAAAAACTAAAAATCTCCATTCCGAGTTTGGTTTTGCTGCCCCCTTGTGGTGTTACAATCTAAGAGCAGCCCTCCATTTTGGCTGTTTTTATTCATCCAGCTGGAAGCTGAAGAACCGTTATGTTAGCTGCTACCAGAAAGCATCCAATTGAAAGTTTTACCTGTTTGTCTGAAGAACAGATCACAGCAGTTTAGTTCAATAAATTTATTTGAATGTCATGAAACTGGTCCAAGTATGGAAGATGAAAATGAACCAAAACTACAGTGAGAAACCACCACAAGCACAATTAAATCTACCTTCTACATAGGCTCAGATTAGTGCTGAATTTGCAGGTCCTACTCTGAATGAAGGAACAGAGAGGTGAGAGGACATTACTGCGAGAACACAAACTGCACTAAAGACAGATCAGAACAGGGCAGAATTAAATGAATGAAGTGCTGATGAAACGATGTTGGCCTTAGGCGACCTCTTCCTCGCCTTCCTCCTCAAACTCCCCCTCCTCGGCGGTGGCGTCCTGGTACTGCTGGTACTCGGACACCAAGTCGTTCATGTTGCTCTCCGCTTCAGTGAACTCCATCTCATCCATGCCCTCCCCAGTGTACCAGTGGAGGAAGGCCTTGCGGCGGAACATGGCCGTGAACTGCTCGGAGATTCGTTTGAACAGCTCCTGGATAGCTGTGCTGTTACCGATGAAGGTGGCAGCCATCTTGAGCCCACGGGGTGGGATGTCGCACACAGCTGTTTTGACATTGTTGGGGATCCACTCTACAAAGTAGCTGCTGTTTTTGTTCTGGACATTCAGCATCTGCTCGTCCACCTCCTTCATTGACATGCGGCCGCGGAACACTGCAGCCACAGTCAGGTAGCGGCCGTGGCGCGGGTCGCAAGCTGCCATCATGTTCTTGGCGTCGAACATCTGCTGAGTGAGCTCGGGCACAGAGAGAGCTCTGTACTGCTGGCTACCGCGGCTGGTGAGTGGCGCAAAGCCGGGCATGAAGAAGTGCAGGCGGGGGAAGGGGACCATGTTGACAGCCAGCTTGCGAAGGTCGGCGTTCAGCTGACCGGGGAAGCGTAGGCATGTTGTCACCCCGCTCATGGTGGCAGACACAAGATGGTTGAGGTCTCCGTAGGTGGGCGTGGTGAGTTTGAGGGTGCGGAAGCATATGTCGTACAGGGCCTCGTTATCGATGCAGTAGGTTTCATCCGTGTTCTCAACCAGCTGATGGACAGACAGGGTGGCGTTGTAGGGCTCCACCACCGTGTCAGACACCTGAAGAAAGAGCAGAAGTCAGACCAAAATAAAAACACAAGAAACGGCGTGAACAGTTTGTCTACCTTAGGAGAGGGCACCACGCTGAAGGTGTTCATGATACGATCGGGGTACTCCTCCCGGATCTTGCTGATGAGCAGGGTTCCCATACCAGAGCCGGTACCACCACCCAGAGAGTGGGTGAGCTGGAAACCCTGAAGGCAGTCGCAGCTCTCAGCCTCCTTCCTCACGACATCCAGGACTGAGTCCACCAGCTCGGCTCCCTCTGTGTAATGGCCCTTTGCCCAGTTGTTACCTGCTCCACTCTGACCTGTAACAGGATTAGTGACACTCAGCATTTGTCCTCAGCCATGCAATCATTTCCTTCAATAATTAAAATTAGCTTGATCCATTTTTATTTAATATATTCAACTAAAAGTATGAATGTAATTAAAATACCAAAGACAAAGTTGTCTGGTCTAAAGATCTGTCCGAAGGGGCCGGAGCGGACGGAGTCCATGGTGCCCGGTTCCAGATCCACCAAGATGGCCCTCGGCACATACTTCCCACCTAGAACACAAACGCACAAGTTACAGAAACACAAGTAGAACAGTAGTGTCCAGTTCTAGCACCATTCTGCATAGTTTTAGGGTTCTTTGCTGAACACCAGGTATTATTTAGTGGCTCTTTATGAGGCTCCTGCAGAGCTTAATGTGCTGAAGTTCAACAGATTATTTAACCGCTGAATCGGGTGTGTTGGAGCAGAGAAACAAACGAAGACATCATATATGAAGCATCCTGGAGGACCAGAATTGGACACTCGCCTACAGGGATGGAGAGATTCACATTCTTTCTGCCTAGAAACAAAATGGTAGCGTTGGAAGTCCAAACCTGAAGCCTCATTGTAGTAGACGTTGATGCGGTCCAGTTGCAGATCGCTGTCACCATGGTAAGTTCCTGTGGGGTCAATCCCATGTTCATCACTGATGACCTCCCAGAACTAAAAAATAGAGCGATGGTTCATATTAGCGTCACACCCACACTTCATCTCCGGTGTTCCAGTGAATTCGGTGTCTCAGCCGGTGCCACACCCCTCTCGGTGGCCGCCATCGAGATATATATATATACATATAATATGGCCACACGCGCAGACACGCGTGCACGTCTGTTCGTTCCGCAGACACGCGTGCACGTCTGTTCGTTCAATCATTATTTAATTTTCCTGGCGAAATCTCTGATCGGTCATTTTTAATCTGAGATTTCGCATCCCACACGCACGGCTCGTGCACACTCAGCGCTGCTATCATGTCTGTGCGGTTCGGTTTCCACTGGGGTGTCGCCGATTTAAAAGGACAACAGGCGGGGGGTGTGTGGGCTTGCCACCGCCCATGAAGATCCTGAGGGATGCTTCAGGACGCTAGCTGGCCTCGCCCCCAACAACCCGCTGCTCTGACCTACTTTAGCCACATCACGGGAGAAAAGCCAAAACCAACGGATATTCGGTCAAAGCGGTCAGGGCTAACGGGTTGATAACTGCTCACCCAACGGTTAAAACATTTAAAAATATTTTTTACCTTCGCTCCAATCTGGTTACCGCACTGGCCGGCCTGGAGATGCACAATTTCGCGCATGTTGTCACGGTGTGTGAGTCTTTTTCTGATGAGAGAAGAGATGTTATCCGGTTTTATCTGGCAGTGGCTGCTCGACGCTCACCCTCCCGGTTCAGTCAGGCTCTGGCAAATGGCGGACGACTGTTAAGCTCTCGCTCTAGGTCTCTCTCTCTCTCTCTCTTTTCTCTCCCCCAATCCAATTCCGCGGCTGCGCAGTTCCTGTCGCTGCTGCAGCATTACGTCATCTCCATGGCAACGGGAACCAGGCGCAGCTGGGAACAATCGGTTGGTTCAGGCGAGCTTAACCAGAACACACCGGTTCTATTTCGTCTAGTCTTAGCTAGCTGCTATTGGAAGGATGATCTCAGCATCAGCCAATCATGAAGAGCTTAAATGTACGGCCACCAATGGTGGGCACCCTTGTGGGTATATAAGTGGAGCGACTCCACAGTTTGTGTACGTTGGGTCTTTCAGCCAAGCTCACCAGCTAACTGTAAAGAGCAAATTATCGAAGAATCAAGCTTCAACTCACCGGCCATTGTCCAGCGACGCCAGAACCTGCCCGGCCTCTCAGACGGGCTCCATCTCCAGCGGCGATCTGCACAACAAGTGTGAGGTCTGCGTTGGAGCTTTTCACGCTGGCCTGGCCTTGACACCCCCCCCCCCCCAAGGTTTCGTGTATGTTTTGAGCGACTAAAGGTCCGCCAGGTCGTGTGCTCTACCCTCACCACCGACAAGGAACGAGCCAGGACGAGGCTGGCTGCCATAGCCCTACTTCCTGTACAGCATGACGGTCGACCAGCCTCGCTCAGCGGGTCCTCCTGTCCCAGTGGCTTGTAGATCATTAATAAAACTGCTGGTGCCATTCTCAAACCATGCGCTGCTGAACTCACCGGTTCTGCTGCCTGACAGACCCTTAACCAGCGGGCCTTTCTCATTCCTGATCACCTGAAACATGGAAGTGCTGTTAGGCCTCATCGTACGAGCGTGATGAGAGACCTGGTCCACCCTGTCATCCTCTCTCTCCGGCCGTTTTTCCAGAGGATGGGACGAATGGCGTAGAATCTTCAGGCGCCCAGCTGCATGCCCGCCCTGCGGAGCCGGCCTCCCGCTTCGGCCCCACCTCAGCGGGACCAGGGAGTTGGCGGCAGACGGTTCCGAAAGGGCCAGCTGACGCCGTCTTAGCAGGAACCTCGCCGAGTTGGGAAGAATGTGTGCTTATGACTAATGTTAACTGAATGATTTTGGTTTTGAAATAAAACTAAAAAAAACGTCACATTGAGAACACACTCCTACAGTCCTCTGCCGAATCCTCACATGTTCACCACACCAAGCACTGCGACACATTGGCTGTGTCTCAATTCAGGGTTTGCATCCTTCGAAGGACCCAGCCCACCCCGCCGACGGGCTGGGTCCTCCGTTGGCCGGGTAGACCGGATGTTAACGGCTGTGAATTTGGACAGGCCTAGCCTTCATGAATTCTCGCCTCTACCTCGGCTAACGTTCCGTCGCCTAGCAACCGTGGAACGCTTAGCAGAAGGGAGAAGGAACTTTAAACGATGGAGCTCGAAGTTTTATTTAGATCTTTAATCATTTCCTTGACTGTTGGAGAGCTAATCCGGAGAAAATACTTTCGGCTAGCTGAGCCTGAGCAAAGATGTGATAATAGTTTTTAATACTTTCTAAGGGTCTTAATATGACCAAAACCGATTTATCACCTTTTAAGACTAAGACCCAGCGGGATACCCTCTAGTAAACAATTCTCATTTGTAAACCAAAATAAAATTCAAGAGTTTAATGCAGAACTGATTTTATTTAGATATTTCTTTCATATGTACATGTTTAATCTTTCTTAACCATTTTTTTCTAGCAAAGTAAAAAGCTGTCAAAGTTCTCCCTTCTCTCCTGTGCCCTCTGCTGCTCTGCCTCCCTCTGCAGCCTCATCAGCTCCAGAAGCTGGTCATCGCTGTCACCTTCCCCTGGATGCCCATTTTCTCCAGAATAGTCTTAATGAACATGTAAGAAAAGAAACAGGAAGAGAAAAGAGGACAACGGGTTATTCCTTTCATGTTTTCGCAGACAAAAATAAACTGAAACCAGTTTTTAAAATATGAGATGGTATTGTACCTCCATGCCACAGCCGCCAAATACTTTGCTCCAGTGATCATGTGGTCCATCTTCGCCCTAAGCTTAATAAATTCCCTGTTTTTCTCTTTTGTCCCTAAAATACAAACTCCTATTAAACTCTGGGGAAAAACGTAGCGAGAGAAGTGCGACACCGAACGGCCGAACATACGAGCCGAGACCGCAATACAAGCACTTTTACTGTAACATTTCTAACTAAAATAACGTTCATGTATCACAAAAAGTCCTTAACCTAACAGTTTTCAAGTTTATACTGACATTTATATGCGCAATCCTCTCCGACAGCTCCCGCTTCACTGTCCGCCATTGTTTTTAAGTTTTTCTGCCGGCTGGCCCGCAAGGCATCTTGGGAAATGCTACCTATTGAAGGATACACCGGACCCATCCTTCATTCAGGCGAAAAGAAGGCCGGATTCGTCGACCGCATTTGAAGGAGTCTTCAAATTGGGACAGGCCTAGTCGCGGTGCTGTGACGTAACCGGCCGACGTAGGATGCAGACCCTGAATTGAGACACAGCCGTTGCATGTTCCCGCAGTCCGTCGTATAAAGATTTAAAGATTTACACGGCCAACTGTAAGGGTGCGCTCCATTTGCGTACCGGCCACAGCCTCCGGCCAGGCCCAACTCATCCTGCTTCCCCCACAACGTTGGGTGGGACGGGATGTCATAGCGCTGTCGCGACCACGCACGGCGACACAGTGCGCGGCTCCATCCGCTGGCACTTTTTGTCGTCCCCATGCACGGGCCCGGCTCCCACTCGTCCTTCATCCTTGGACTCCACGCTCCGCGGTGCGGATCAGCCACTTCCAGCTGTTTCACACTCCCCCTTTCGAGCACAGCCCTCCATGGGTCACTCCCAGTTTTCTGGTACGAGCGACGGCAGTAAGGGCGCAAACCCAGTCCTCAGACGTCGTTCACGTGACCTCGAACACGCGTCCGCTGTCGGAACGCGCGCAAGAATGGCGCCGCCTTTGCCTCATGAGCAAATGGATATCGGACACCATTCATTATGGTCACACACACTCCATTTTCAGTTCGCTCCTCCTCCCTTCAACGGGATCGTGGAGACGACGTTCACGTCACAGGAAAAATCTCAGGCCCTGGAGCAGCGGGAAATTCTGTCCAAGGACGCAATTTCCCAAGTCCCTCGCGGACGAGAGCTCTCAAGGTTGGTTTATGCTTGACGCGTCTGCGAGGTCCGCACGGCTCTGCGCAGAAAAGTTGCATCATTTTGCATCATTTTAACAACCACACCCCTCCACCGCGCCTCTGCACGGCCCAGAATTTCCGCAACGCGCACCTCGGAAAATTTCTAACCACGCGGACGGACGGACGCGGAAAAACATGGCGGACCGGCAAGAACTAGTATGGCAGAGGTTCTTAAATACAGACATTTGTATGATTCAGCTCTCAGAGATCACCGTGATCAACATGTTGTAAATAATTCTTGGAGAGAAATAGCTCGCACTGTCGGAAAAGACGAGAACGCTGTTAAAAATGCTGAAATGCCATGTTGTAAACAGTCATTTCTACTTCTACTATGGTGTAGTGTTGGATGCATGCCGTAGAGCTCCATGCTGCCCCGTTGAGTTTGGGAGAATATTGGCTCACCGCAGAGACGAGCCGCACGAACCATAAAAGCTGCAAGTTGTGAAGCGCGTTCCATCCGCGAGCCGCATCACCGCGCGGAAAGTGAATGCGTCAAGCATAAACCAAGCTTCAGGCTTCTACTCCCGCTACTTCGTAATACCGAAGAAGTTGGGAGGAATGAGACCAATTCTCGACCTTTCCCTGTTCAACTGCTCCATAGCAGTGATGCATTTCTGCACGATAACTGTTAAGCATCGGACTAATATGCTCTGTTATGTTATGCATCTATGTAAATATGTAAATAAGAATGTGTATATATATATGCTTTTATTTTGAAAAGCAACTGTAGAGGAAGTAGAACTTTGACCCCGTAGAATGACCAATAAAAAGGGAGCATTGGTGTTTGTAGAGTGCAATCAGTGTGTTCTACCACCAGTGAAGGCCCGTTGAAACAGATGCTCTGTTTATGGATTTATTTCCTCCTTTTTAATCCTGGAGATTCGTTTGGGAGTCTTGGACCAACCGCTGGGTAAATGAAACTCTGCTAACATTAACAATGAGGCAAGTCCTGGAATACGTGCGCTCCGGGGACTGGTTCATGTCAATAGACCTGAAAGACGCATACTTCCACATCCCAGTAATTCCCAAGTACCGAAAGTTCCTGCGCTTCTCATTCAAGGGAGTTCAATACCAGTTCAATCGTCTCCCTTTCGGCTACTCGCTAGCCCCGCGCACCTTCTCCAACTGTCTGGAGACCGCGCTGCAGCCTCTGTGCACGGCGGGAATGAGGGTTTTATTTTACCTGGACGATCTGCTCATATGCGCCCGGTCCAAGGACGAGGCGTCAGAGCAAACCAGGAAGTCAATAGAGCATCTGTCAATCCTGGGGTTTTCCATAAACTGGGAGAAGAGCTCCATCCTTCCATCCCAGTCGATTGTGTTTCTCGGGGTGGAGCTGAACACCTCTCTACTGAGAGCACGTTTGTCTCCAGCGAGAGCGGCAGATCTCGCCTCGGTGATCTCCCGCGTGCAACCCCGCGAGATCGTGAGAGCCCTGTTAGTCATGAAACTTCTGGGCATGATGGCTGCAGCACATGCTGTGGTGCCGCTAGGTTCACTGCACACGAGGCGCCTGCAGCGTTGGTTCATCCACCTCCGGGTACATCCGATATGTCAGAAGAGACGTATGTGGAGTGTTCCCCCTTCAGTGGGCGGGGACCTCGCTCACTGGGGGAATCCCTGCATCCTCTCATACGAAGCCACCTACATTCCGGGGGTCCTGAATGTAGCAGCGGACATCCTGTCGAGTGGGGGTCCCAGCGACTCCGACTGGCGTCTGCATCCCGCACTGATATCACAGATCTGGATAAGGTTCGGGGAACCCTCTGTGGATCTGTTTGCGGCTCGCGAAAACGCACAGTGTCGCCTGTGGTTTTCCCTGAGTCCCCGGGACCATCCCCCGCTCAGAGCGGACGCCTTCTCGCATTA